AAGGAACAGGATTTGGCCATTTGGCCCTTCAATCCTGCAACGCCATTCAATCTGATCATAGCTGACAATCCAACTCAGTACCCTGTTCCTGATTTCTCCCCATACCCTTTGAAGAACATACTGCATCTATGATGGCATCATCTGTCACATTTGTCTTACATTGTACAGTATCTGCCGCCACTGAATAAGCTTCCCTGGTAGTCCCTGTGCTAATCTCCATGCAAGCCTCCTGCAGGCAAATGAAAAGTGCCTTGTTAACAGATTGGTTGCGCTGACTATTCTATGCCTTTTACTCATCATCTTGTGCAATGTATGAAGGTGACAAACCTGTCTGAACCCAAAGCAGTGGAAGTGATTTGAGACTTTAGCTTCCTTCACCATTTTCCATGCCCTCTTCACCATCAGCCTGGTCTCTAGCATAGTGGGATCATAGCCCTGTTTCTTATCAATGGCCTTAATGAGCTGAGAAATATGCTGCCATTGGTAATGGGTTTTCTTATGCCTAATCATTCCCTGATGGCTGGAGCTTGGCCATGGTCTTGGGAGTTTTCTTGCTGTTTAGGCAAGTAGTGTCAGGGTGCACAATTCAGGCATCTACCTTGATGGCATCTTCCCTATATTTTGCTGTTACCATTTCTCAATTTTCATGATCCATGGCTCAGAAATGTTAGAGGTCATTTTCGTGTATTTGTTTGCTTTGATCCATGCGGATAGTGTCTTGACTTGTGCAAAAAACTGTTCCGGGTCCAGACCCGAAATGTCAGCTTTCCTGCTCCTCTGATGCTGCTTGGCCTGCTGTGTTCATCCAGCTCTACACCTTGTTATCTCCTTCTTGAATATACTTACCACAAGAAGTGGCAGCTTTTCAGTGCCACCCATGTTGGAAGACACCATAGAAGTGCAACTTCTATTGCTCTGTTTTCCAACAGGTGTCTAAGCATTTGGCATTTCTGTGGTAACTGCTGTGCTCTCACCACATACTGAGCAGAAGACGATTCAATGCCTGTTGAATCAGTCTAGCCGTCCATACCTCCAAATGATTTCCAGGTGATCCAGCTCCTTATTCAGGACAACTCTCCTATCCTGCAGGATTGGGCAGGAGGTGGAAATATTCTTAGTTTGGGTTGCCTTGAAATATGTTAACAGAGCTTCTTCGACTTTGCGATGAGTAGCCCTTCTCATCATCTTCCTTGTTGAACAGTTTCAAGATGTTGTCCTTGGTTTTCAGAATGGAGATAATTTGATTGTGAAACCTCCCTCACTCTCTTGTTGATGGCTGCTTTCCACTTCACAACACATTTTCCTTTTGATCTGCCAACTTCACCTTCTCCCCAGCCAACAGTACTTGTAATTTTCTCACAGGATTTGTCATTCCAATGTGCTTTGTGCATCGCATTCCAGAGAGATTTCACTGTGAAATGATGGCCTGTTTAGTGTTTCAAATGTGAGTACACTGATATTGACAGAGATACTGATCAGAGATACTGACGCTGTGGTACCTGACTCTGAATGGAGGCAGTACTAAAGTCGAGGACTGTTCATGTGCTAAATGAAGGGTGACCTGGTGAGGGGATACTGGCCTTTGTGGAGTTATTTCAGTCACATCATCCACTGGTTAAAGACACTGACCTGCTTGCAATGTGGATGCTCCTCTTTTTCCGAAGGATTTCAGCGTTATTTTTCTTGCTGGCACCAACAAAACTTTGGCTAAACCAGATCAACCTTTGCAGGTTTTCAACTGATCATGGGCATTGTTCTACAGCTTTTGATATTCTCCAGTGAAACTGGTTGATAACTTCAACACAAACTAAATTTATCTGAGCAGGTGATTTGGCAAGATTTCACTGTAACCTAATTGATTAGGATTATTCAAAGTTAATGGAATGAAACAGAGAAATAAACAAAAGGAAAATAAGGACAATAAAATTAACAACCTGGAACAGCACCAACCCAGATGCTTAAAAGCATGATGTTGGTGTTTAAATTGGGTAAAGGAATGTTCATAACAATAGGCATTTGTACTCATCACAAATAGAGTGAAACCAAATGGTTGACTGCAGCTTAGTGCTCTGTACTCCACCTCAGACATATAGGCCTGTTGAGTTAAAAGATACTCACATGTCAAAACAAATATAAATAATTTTAGTAACATAAAATGATAACATAATTGGTGTATATGACATTAATTCAGTGCATTTAGATATTTGTTCAAATCAAAAGTTTAACTATATCACCCAGGTAAGAATTGATGACTCACAGATACTGCAAACTCCCGTTAGGAATTTTTGTTATGAAGGGGAATATATGAAGTAAGCTTTAACATTGAATATGTTGCAGATTGTTAGCATTTGGTAAAATCAGGATCAGATATAGCACTGACATCAGGTAATAATCCTATTACAAGAGGTTCGGAAATCATAGAAATACTTCCAGGTTGGTTCCCATATCTTTGGATACAGGGAGTCAAGAATATCACTGAGTGACAACAGGACATTCTAAGCAAAATGTTACCATTTTGTGTTGGGACCTTCAAAGACAATGGTGTTTCTAAGTACAGTGCATGCCCACCCTGTTTTGACCTGTCTGCCATTTTACAGGGAGGTGGTGGAGGTGTTGGGTGGCAAGTCCATCCCAGGTGGGCAGCTTTTTCTCAGAAAACTGGTGTCAAGCAAGAGGGTGGGGTAAGCAAGAGGAAATCCCCTCATACGGTCATACCCTTCTCTTTAACATTCATCTCACTAATCTTTCAAAACAGGCCCTGTACTCAAGCCAATGGTGCGGGCAGACGAGTGTGTTTTGGCACTAGTGCCCAGTCTGGATGAATGAGGAAAGGTATTGAGTTGTAATATCACCATCATATCCAAAAAAAGTATTCAAGGCTGATCAACCAACATTATGGTGATCCTATGTAACATGGGAAAAGTCAGAAGAAGAGAGTAGCAATGAGGGTATATTTGAAGGCTACATGGAGTACAGCAAAGCTTTAATGCCAGGCAAACCCAAATCATCCATCCTTTTTATATGCCACCCAATTTTCTTGACTTCATGTCAGTTAAATTTGGGCAGGATATAAAACTGACAATCAAGTAGCTGTTGTCCACTTTTCTTCACCAAGATAAAATTTGCCCCATCAATTTTCCTGAAAACCAGGCAAGCATGAGCTGCTCATTACCACTCTGGTGTTACAAGTCACTGGTAAGCTCACATTCACTGCTTTCATCCCATGTTTTAAATTAGAGATGTTTATTCACAACACAGATGCAAGCTCCTGAGCTCTGCCATCAGGCTAAAATGGGGGTCCGAAACCTACATTGTGTGGGGAACAGTTACTCAATATGTTTTCACTGGAACAGTCTATTAATGGCCAGAGAGGAGGCTTGCCACCCAGTTAAGGATGGGCTCTCTAAGCCGCAGGGTCAATCAGGATGCATTGGCAGCTGTAGAACAGTTTCAAACTGTAAGTTCAAAATTTAGCTTTTCCTTTATTTCCTGTCACCGCACCCCCAACCTCCCCATGGTCTCCCTGGAGATTGCACCAACCTCTGAGAAACTGGAGACCAAATGGAAAATTAACCAGTTGATCTGTGTTATCAGGCCTATAAACTAGACCAATTGGCTATCCGCTGATTGCAGATGGGTGGCCCTCCTGCTTTCACTCACCCCACATTCCACTAAAAGTGCTATTGGGAAAAGGGAATTGAGTTAGGAGCTGGCATGTAGACCAGAGGTGCAAAGTCCATTCCTAGACGTAGTGGGTGCTAAATATCCAACTCTAACACAAGGATCTGTTCTGGGTCCTCTTCTATTTGTGATTTTTGTAAATGATTTGGATGTAGGAGTGGAAGGGTAGGTTAGTAAGTTCGCGGACGATATGAAGGTGGGTCGAGTTGTGGATTGTGCGGAGGGCTGTTCTAGGTTACAAAGGGACATTGATAGATTGCAGATCTCGACTGAGAAGTGGCAGATGGAGTTTAACCCTGAAAAGTATGAGGTGATTCATTTTGGAAGGTCAAACTTGAAAGCAGAATATAGGGTTAACGGAAAGATTATTGGCAACGTGGAGGAGCAAAGGGATCTCGGGGTTCATGTCCACAGTTCCCTGAAAGCTGCCACCCAGGTGAATAGAGTTGTTAAGAAAGTGTATGGTGTGTTAGCTTTCATTAATAGAGGGATTGAGTTCAAGAGCCGTGAAGTTATGCTCTAGCTATACAAAACCCTGGTTTGGCCACGTCTGGAGTATTGTGTCCAGTTCTGGTCACCTCATTACAGGAAAGATTGTTGGAAAAGGTGCAGAGGAGATTTATCAGGATGTTGCCTGGAATGGAGGGAAGGTCTTACGCGGAAAGGTTGAGAGAGCTAGGGCTTTTCTCCTTAGAACAACGAAGAATGAGAGGTGACTTGATAGAGGTGTACAAAATGATCAGAGGTATAGATAGAGTGGACAGCCAGAGACTTTTTCCTAGGGTGGAGGTAGCTATTACAAGGGGGCATAGTTTTAAAGTGAGTGGAGGTAGATATAGGGGAGACGTGAGAGGTGGGTTCTTTACCGAGAAGTGGTAGGGGCGCGGAATGCATTGCTGGAGAGGGTAGTGGAGTCGGCCTCATGAGGGGAATTTAAGCACCTATTAGATAGGATAGTATACGGTAGGGGTGGAGATTAGATAGACCTTAGGTTTAGGGTAAAAGTTCGACACAACATCGTGGGCCGAAGGGCCTGTACTGTGCTGTTATGTTCTATGTTCTAACTTGTGTGTGATTGTGTTCTCTTTTCTTCAGTAGGGAAGTTACATCTGGTCCTTTGGCACAATTCATGTTTCCAAACATTCTTGGAAAATTACGTTTAGTGCAATCTATTAGTGATTTTCAGTATTCTGGGCGGGTCATTTTATCTGGGCCTGATGACAGTATTTCTTTTGGTCCTATTAATTTAAAGTGGATATTTCTGGAAAAGGTTAATTCAGATAGTCCAACAATTTTTTAAAAAGCTTTTATATTAAGAAAAACAAGACAAACATTTATTAAGCTTATTTAATATCCCCTTATGCAAGTAAAATACAGCCCTGGTTATCGATAAAAGATCCCACCTTTCAATGGTTTTCTTCTCATCTACTTAATATTTCCTTTCATTCTATTAGTTTTTTTTAACATAAATACAGAGGGTAGATGTTTCAGATCACCAAGGATTAAATTGACTAATTCTTACAAATATAGCTTTCTCCAAAGAAAAGAAAATAAATTCTTATATTCAACCACAAAAAAAGGCTTCTTTGTAAATCTGAAATCGGTTTACTCAAAGTCTGCTTTTTTTTTCTCCCATTGAGAAAGTGGTCATTGACATTTTAACAGAAGTTACCCTTGGGTAACATTTCATATGCAGATATCAAATTATCACACATTATGAATCAACAATATCAAATAATTTATTTCTCAATTTATTTTGTGTTTTGGAAGAACTTGTATTAAAAATTATATCAAATCAAAATTACATCAAATCATCACTTTTTAATACTTTTACAAAAGCAAAATACCACAGAAACTTAAAATCTGAAATTAAAACTGAAAACCTTAAAAAAAAAAGCAAAAAAAAATGCTGGAAATACTCAGCAACACATGTATTGTCTGTGGTGAGAGAAGCAAAGTTAATGTTCCAGGTCAATGACATTAGTTCTGGTCTCTGCTCCTCGCATAAAATTACTATCGAGAGATGAAAGTAAAGTTCTGCATGCTCTTATACTTTTTCCTCTCATTTAAAGCATGTGATATCATAATCTAAAAATCAGAGACATTTGATTCCACAATACAATTCAAAGGAATTGTCCTTTTCTGGATATGAAACGGTCAATCATGTCAAATGCTCTTTCAGGTTGGTCGTAAGGCAAGATGTGTCCTCCACCTCGTATAATTACCTTGAACAGAAAATAAAATATACTTTAATAAAGTTAAAAGCAACAAAATAAAAATCACAACTTAACATTCGTATTGAATCTCTCCTAAATTTAAGTTACGAGTGCACTCAGCACATATTATAGATCAATGTCATCTGAAGATTGCCTGGTTGTCAACCATGAAATAAAAACTTCACCCATAGTGCAACGTTCTATACATTGAAGCCAAAGAGTAGAAGTATCTTTGTTGGCAAGGTTTTCTAAAGTACAGATCACACAGAAATTTTAAGTACTAATTCATCACTCAATCGACCCTATTTGTTTCTTTTCCAGTTTTTAATGCCGTCTGCAGTGTGGTGGTGATTTGTTGGTTTATGCAGGGAGTCGGAGTTGCTATGTCAACATGCAAGTGTCCATATAGGGGGTGGTCTGGAAGTATGGATAGTACTGGGAGAAACTCCAACTCTCTTTCCACCATAGAGCTGATCAGGAATCTCCGTCATTTTTACCACTTGCTGTGGCGAGTCCTGGAAGGAATTGTATGGAGATATTCAACTTTTTGGCTACACTATGAACACACCTTCTTTGGCCACCAACTCCTACAGTGGGACTCAAACTGTATTAACTAGCACCCCTGAATTGATGCATTTAGGCCTCCTCTTATAACACAAGGTGACTATGAAGATGTGCAAGGGATATTCTCCATGACACATGTAATATATCTACTTATCTTTGGAGTGAAAAGGCAGCTACTCCTGTACAGAGGTCAGATTGCTCAGTTGATTGGATGGCTTGTTTCCAATGCAGAGTGATCATAGAATCATAGAATTCCTGCAGTGTGGAAACAGGCCCTTCGGCCCAACAAGTCCACACCAACCCTTAGAACATCCCACCCAGCCCCATCCCCCTAGCCTAAACATCCCTGAACACTATGGGCAATAATCTGCACATCTTTGGACTGTGGGAGGAAACCGGAGCACCCGGAGGAAACCCACGCAGGGGAGAATGTGCAAACTCCACACAGACAGTCGCCCGAGAGTGGAATTGAACCTGGGTCCCTGGCGCTACAAGGCAGCAGTGCTAACCACTGAGCCACCGTGCCGCCCCTTGACACCCAGATGTGGATTCAATTCCCTTACCAGCTGAGGTTAGCATGAAGGACTCTTCTTCTCAACCTCTCCCTTCGCCTGAGGCAGTACAACCCTCAGGTTAAACCTCCACCAGTTGTGTCTCTCTCTCCACTCTTGGTCCAGTAGGACTATGGAAAAATTACCTCCCAATAGCAAAAGCAAAAATAGCAGGTGAGGAAAATGTAGCTCTGAGCCCTCAGCTATTATTCTGTTTTGCCGTCATTATACCACGCTTGATCTTTTAACATAATAAATTGCTGGCGTAGGCCAGGACACGACGTTGAAACTTCAAAAATGTAAATTAAAACATCATGATTTAGGGGAGGTGATTTTGAACAACTCAATAGCATCTTTAAGATTTTTGGGACACGAGGACTACTGAGCATGGATTTGGAGAGAAACATGATGTGAAAGAAATCTTTGCAGCTGCCAATCCTCAACTTTTCTGGCAGCACTGGTGGAGACAGGAACAAAGTTAATGATTCAGGCCAATGATCTTTCATAAGAACCTAAGTGACCCCTACCTGAAGCTTCCCACTCCCCTACCTCACCATTTGCTGCAAGCATCAGAGACCACTGGAGTCAATCTCTGTGGAGGCGGCAGAAGTCCTAGTGCCGCGTCTGAAAGCGAGAGGCCAATCTACTCCAATTGGCGGCAGGAGCCGGCCAGCAGGGGATGGGGGCGCGTATTGCAAGCAACAGCCAGTTAAGGTGCGCCCGAGAGCTGTTGGGCCCAACAGAGGACCAGCAGCTCAGCCACGCCCAAGTCAGCAGTGGCCATTGCTGAGGTTTGGGGTCAGAGAGAGAGAAACCACCTCAGTGATCTGGCAGCCCCTCAGAAAGCTGAGTGAGCAGTCAGGGAATTGGGGATTTTAGAATTAGAATTAGCTTTATTGCCACATGTACTCACAGAAATAGGCAGTGGGACAGCCGAGAGGCGAGGCCTGCTCCAGGAGCAGCGGGAGGTGAGGCCTGCTCCAGGAGCAGCGGGAGGCGAGGCCTACTTTGGGAGGTGCAAGAAGTAAGGCTCTGAAGCCAGCCTCCTTTTTGCCCAAGAGAGTGATGGGAAGGTTGGGGGATGATTTTAAAGCTGTTGGGCAAATAAGGAGGAGAGAGTTTCTGCTAGGAATAAATAAAATAAACTCATTTTTATTCCAAATAAAAACCTAAAGAACAGCGGATGCTGGAAATCAGAAACAAAAACAGAAATTGCTGGAAAAGCTCAGCAGGTCTGGCAGCATCTGTGGGGAGAAATCAGAATCAACGTTTCGGGTCCATTGACCCTTCCTCAGAACTAATTGTAGCTAGGAAAAAAATGTGTTTATTTTTAATGCAGAAGATGGGGTGGGGGGAACGGGGTAAAGAGTAAACAACATGTGGAGATAAAGCCCATAGACAGATAAGAACAGTTAGACAGACAAAGGAGTGGATAACGATCAGCCTTGGAGAATGAATAAAAACCAAAAGAACTGCAGATGCTGTAAATCAGGAACAAAAACAAAGTTGCTGGAAAAGCTCAGCAGGTCTGGCAGCATCTGTGAAGGAGAAAACAGAGAGTCAACATTTCGGGTCCGGTGACCTTTCCTCAGAACTTGGAGAATGAATGCCTTCTAAATGGGACCCAACAATGGGTTGCATTTAACAGCAGACCATGTGATAATAAGGCCCGGTGTGTGGGGGTTGAGGTAAGAACATGGGAGAAGGTGATTCAAGCCCAAAAACTGTTGAAATCGATATTGAATCCAGAAAGCTGTAGAGTTCCCAAGTGGAAAATGAGGTTCTGTTCTTTTAGCTTGCACTGAGCTTTGCTGGAGCACTGCACTGAGCCTGACACAGAGATGTTGGCCAGGGAACAGGGTGGTGTGTTCACGTGGCAGGCAACTGGAAGCTCAGGGCCTTTTATACGGAGGAAAAGTAAGTGTTCTGCAAAGTGGTCACCTAGTCTACGCTTCATTTCCCCAAAGTAAAGGAGACCACATTGTGAGCAGCAAATGCAGTAGACTAGATTGAATGAAGTACAGGTAGAGCCCAGGTCACGTGGAGACTGAGGAAGGGAGGAAGTAAATGGGCAAGCATACTCATCGTTCGAGAGGAAGTTGCTTCCTGTTGCTTGTGAATGATGCAAATTTTCACCTTGAGATTGCATTCATTGGAAACTCAGCATTGTATCAATGTTACATCAAAGCTGTCCCTTTCTCTCGGTCCTTCTCCATCCCCAAATTTCTTCACAAATTCTTTATTATCTGGCATATATTATCTGGTCAAAGTGCCCTGAAAATATGTATGTTTCATTGATCTCTTGATATTTTGCTACTTGTACTTTCTTTCAAGGGTTATATCACATTCCCATCTCTTACCACATAAACTGATCTAGGTTAAATTAATTCGCAAGATAACTGATAACTGTGTTTAATAGTAAGATGAAAAAGAGCAAAACTTTCACAAACTATTGTAGCATTTCTCCAGCTATAGGGCAACACAAGTGTGCATTCACATTGCACATCATGAACAAAACTTCTTTGAACTTCAACCCAAATACTAAAAAAATGCATACTTTAAACATAAAAACTTGACTCAACTTGAGTGTTCTCTATTTGGAGTGCATTTGTTAGTACTGTAATAACCAACAATTTCATAATCTTGATCCAAAGTGTTTAGTTTTAAGCAGATTGAAATCATTACAGTAGAGTATGGAATAGCAGTGTCCACAAGCTGAAAAAACTAGTATTTATAACTGCAAAGTGTTGCAATGCAGACTGATTCCCTCTGTTCCACTGCATTTCTGGTCTATAACTGAACAGTTTCTCATGGATGGAAGTAAGGGAAAGTAATCAAACAGCACCACACCTTGGTGATTACAGTACACACCTCCAAACAGTGACTTTCGGGTGGTTTTGTTAAGAGATAAGCAAACAGAATTCCCTCTGCCGACAATCGAGAACAAAGATAAGAAAATACAAGGAGGTTAAAAACCTTCATCTTCATCTACCACAAATAATCTCACTGGCTCTATGGAGCCAATTGCCCCAATACATGCATTGAGCTCTCACTATTACAACCATGTCCACTTGTAACCAAGAAAAGCAACAACAACTAGAACTTGTGCTCTGGTTCACGTATTTGTTTCGCTTGCAGGAATCCAAAATAATTTATTTGAAGATGGACCAAACAAGGAGGGAGGGCACATGAGCTTTTCCCAATTTCTCCAACGTGTTTCTTAAATCTCCCACAACATCTTAACTTCATTTTCCCCAATCCTTTTTAAAATGCTCTAAAATGTTTTCTTTTTTGAAAAAAAATGGTATTGCACAGTATAAATTTGAGGCTTCACGGTGTTGTGAAAGGTATGGTATGGAGATTCGATAAAATTAAAATTCAACAACCAGATGGGTTGAAATTTCTGCAGTGCATGCGAAATGCAACATTTTAGCGTGGCTATTAACTTGTGACATTTTTCTTTGGAAAGGAAGCACTCTTTAGATATCTAGGTACCATTCAGAAATATTCAAAAGGAACAAATGTTATAGTTCGAGCCCAGTAAGGAATGCGTCGTATACATTGAAAGAGTTCATCAGCATCAAGTGAATTTAAAAAGTCATAAGACTGTCATAAGAACATTAGGGATAGGAGCAGGACTTGAACGCATGACCTTCATGTGAGCTCCACCATTCGACATGATCATGGTTCACTTTCTACTGCAACTACATTCTCTTCCCCTATTTCCATGTCCCTTAATTCAGTTAGGAAGCTATCAATTTATGCTAAAAATATACTTAGTCATAGCGTCATAGAGATATACAGCACTGAAAGAGACCCTTCGGTTCAACTTGTCCATATCGACTTGATATCCTCAATTAATCTAGTCCCATTTGCCAGCATTTGGCCCATATC